TGTCTTGTCGTACAATACAACTGCATTTGTTTGTTATGATCTCGTCTCGACAGTTCAATGCCAGGGATAAATCTGGATTGGATAGTGTGATCACCAATCTTTGTAATTAACGATACATGAGCCTTTTCCTCACCCAAACCCGACCACAATGTCCGATTGAAACATGTTTCAATTGTATCTCCTTTGGTAATACATATGTATATATTGTGCTATCGTCCTGGTCTATCTGTGTTCTGTTGTGCAGAAAATATTCCCTGATATTGTTTATTGTGATAGGTTATGAACTACATGTGCATGTGTCGGTGCTAAAAGCCAAATACGTGGTAATTAATGGCGGCAGTTGTTGATTATAATAACCAGAATGTAAACAAAGACATGTGGTACATTTACTATGTTAACATGTTCTACAATCTTTCATTAGCAATTAACTTCATGTTAAAAGTGTTTTGCCTGTGTGTGTGTGTGTGTGAACTAGCTTTATTTAACGCCCGCTTCCACCGAAGTGATATCGCCGACAATGCCCACCCAATTGCTTATCCACTTTCCCTGCACCTTGTTAAAGGCACTATTCCAGATATATTTTAGTGAATAAAACTGGTGAATTCCTTTATGGAAGACCTGTAGTAAAAATTTATTTTAGTGTCGTGCAGCAACCTGAATCTGTGTAGTACTTTTCAAATTCAAAACATAAGAAAACATTAGCGATCACTTCCGAATGCTGAAATTTTTAGGCAGTCTATTTCCAAGCATTTTAGTGTATTATTTTGTATAATTAACTCCTGTTTTATCCTTGGGTATCCTGTGGGAAATATGGGACTTCGTCTTTAATTTAGAGGCGTTTAGATCCCGTGAAAAATTAAAAACTGTATACTCATTTTGCGCTACCTATTACCCCATCTTGAACTCAATACCAACATAAATACTTTAATATAACTAGCACCTTAAACCATATTTGTTCAAATAAAATTTGATTGTGTTTGTTAGGTAATTTTGCAACCAGGATACTTTCATAACCATGAAGGCCAACGGCTTGTTTTGTTACATTGTCCCGTTTCAGTTTTAGTAAATGTGCTTAATAACATTATTAAAGGCCCCAGGATTGGTTGTGAAATGTATTTATAACATTAATATACTTCCCCACTGACATTATTAGTGTCATTAATCCGGTTTTATTGCCTAACGGACTCACGCTGTATAGATGACGTCTTATCTCAGACTAACGGTCTGAAACCAGCTGGGAAAGAACTTGAGGATGTTACGTATGGCTGGTAGCACGCCTGTCCATATGGTGGGTGTCATCAACACATCTGCTGGAACGAGATGTTTATCACTCCATGACATTTCCCACAGTCCTTACACAACCAAACTACAGTATTTATATGAGATTCATAATATGGCATGGTGATGGAGTATCATCGACATAGATAAGCGTATCACTAAAACCAATCTGTATTTTTTTTAAAATCAGAACAGCAAATGGTGCCAACAATGGAAACGCGCATAATTTGCCATTTACGTGTAGTTTGGAAATTGTAAAATTTAATCTGTGCTAGAATCACAATGTCTCTCTGAAATATATTTTGTTTCAAAAATACCCAGAAAATTTCCATATTATGAGCTACCAATAATTAGTTTTAACAAGGACACGTTTATTTCTAAATGAAATTTCTATGTTATGCCAGCTGTTAGCTTTCTGCACGCTACATCAATTATGAATAATGGTTTAAAAAAGAAAAATTCACTATATTATATCCTTTGTCTAAATATTCAATTATATTGATTGTGAAATATAGCTGGAACATTATGTATGCCCGTTGAGAACACGTGCGTCGCGGATGGCAACAACTGAAACGGCAGTAAATTAATCTGATGTTTTGAAAAATGAAACTTAGTCGCGTGTTTGTGACTTGGTTATGCAACCATATCGACCGTGGCAATAAATTTTAATGATTTGTACTGAAATGCATTCCATATGTAGTTATGTGAACTATTCATATCCGTTTATAATCATTGACTTTCATCTGTAAACATGGTTACTTGTGTTCGTGAGAAAATGTACATTTTCAAACTTAAATTAAAGCTACTCATATTTATCGATTATTTGCACACTAATTATGCTAGAAATATTTGGTATACATGTACATTAATTTAATGCCGCTCATTGTCATTTCGGGGATTCTGAATCCTTTACACTATGATATTATAAACTTTGAATTTCTAAAAGGAATAACGGTTTAAATGTTTCAATTCCCTTCAATATTTTCAAAGATAATCTGATGAGTTGGAAATGCCGGAACATTCGTTATTTTCCGCAGACAGCATCAACATGGATACAATTTCAATTCCACATATCTTTGTAAATACTGAACGGAACTGAACCATTATTGGATAGGTATTCCTATCAGAGATCCACCTTTCATCATAGTGTTGTTTGCAATTCATTCCTATTGCTCAAAATGACGCTTCAGAACTTAGATAAAATGTTAAATTAATCAATTTTGAGTAAATTAAAGTGTCAACAATAAATGAAAGTGTTGACCAGCGGCTTTCAATTGCAAAGAATGTATATATGACATTATTTTGAAAGGCTCCCCAGATGAGCGAAAAGTACTTTAGAATGTTAAAATGTTATTAAACCAGTGTTGAAATCAGTTTGTGTCAGCATACCTTTTATCTTTTCATCGTTTACCGTGAAACAAAGTAGTGCAGCTTTACGGTTGTGCTAATATTTTTGTGCCAATATATATATATATATATATTACAAAACAAATCAAAATTCTTAAGATAAGAGACTGCAAATTACTTCAGACATTGACATAAGTATGACGCCTTGCATAGCATGCTGCTTCACACGCACACCCTAACCCCCATTTAAATTACTATCAGATTCGGAAATATGACGATAATGAAATATCGATATGATCAAAAACCACTTCTGACACCAAGTGATAAGTTTTATAAGATACCACCATGTGTTATTGATGAAAATATGTTATCTCGTGAGTAAAATACACATTAAACATAAAAAAATAGCGTCAGAAAGTTTGGATATAAACTATATCTTATCTGTTTGTGTTTCACGATTTTTGAAACATCACTTTTATGTAGACATTATCAGGCAGTGGTGTTATAATATACTGCAATTAGTCTTATTTTAGAGATATTATACAACTGGTGCTAATCACTGGCGGTCATCCAATTCATGATGTCGACATCCGATATTAAATCTAGTAGCAAAAAAAACCCACTTGAAATTCCCTGTCTGTAGTTCAGATAAGAGAGGTTTAGATCTCTCCTTTCTTTTAAGAGTCGCGCATGCATGCAAACATGGGTCATCTTGGACGAGTGTAACACCTCACATTCTGTAAAGAGTAGTTCTAATCAACTGCAAATAAGCCCCAATAAAAATTTAGAGAGTTTAAAGATCCTCTTGTTAATTTGAAAATAGGTCGAGATAAGAAGGAAACTCGTGATAAAGTTTAAGTAGAATGGACTGTCTCGCCGTACACATCTTGTTATGATTACCCTGTCCATGAACCTTCACCCGACTTTAGTAACGAAGTTGTTATCGCTCAATTACGCGATTCATAATTCACAAACACAAATTGATGTATTTTATCTGTTGAAAATAGTTTATTCGTGAATGAAATCATCTGCATATTCTCATAACCACAGTTATTACGATATATTGCATGAATAAATGAAGAATAAGTCAGTTTTGAAATCAGTACTTGTATAAATTAATCTCCTGTTACAATGATTTATGATCGTTTAATATCTTCAAAATGAGTGATCTGTCAAAAATAAAGCAACCCCCCCCCCCCCCCCCGGGGTTAAATTACAGAGTTTACCAAGCACACGAGAGCTTCCTTATAATTTACCCCCTTTGGCTTTTAAATCCGGTTAATTTGAAGTGGGGACGTATTTAAGTGTATTCTGGTGATTAGGAGAAAATATGCGCTAAGATGATCAAGATATCGGTTGATACAATCTACTCAACATAGCTAGAGTAAATTCAACAGTTACAGATAATTCGTAGCTCACAGCTAGATATTTTAAGTGCAGAAAACATATCCCTTCTTTAAAAAAAACTACCTGCCAGTTTCTATTTCGAGTTTTCACAGTTACACATGGTATTTATGGCATTTCCAAAAAACAACTGTTGACGTACAACTTGAGTTTTTTTATACTCGGCAACTTAAATAACACATGCACACAATTCCACTACATCTGCATTTTACTTTTACTATACTATGTAGTATTTCTTGATTAGCTTCTAGAAACAGAAAAAAGATGATAATTAGATTAAATGCAGAATATATATGCATGCGGTCAATGTAGGAACTGTTATTAGTGTGAGAAAATTCTTTAGTAATGCTGACTTACTTACAACTAAACACTAAACTACAAACTGTTCTACCATTTTTGGTCATGAACAATGAAAAGTGCCGGGTACGAGATCGTGTGTTTGCCCATTTCTTAGTAAAATACCTGGTAGCACTTCTCATATAGGTGGACAGTTCGTATCCAACAAATTGTTGTTCCTTGGGTGTAATATTAGGCATATATACATCTTTATATATATACATATACTTAGTGGTCCGTATCAAACCCAACAGTCTCTCAATTCAAATATCAACTCCATAAAAAACATAGCAAATGTCATAGGGCTTAAGGTGTTATTTCTCGTGTTTATATTAGATATTCACATTGTTGACACTCAGCTAAGCCACCCCATTCCCCCCCCCCCCAACAATAAAATATTATAGCCATTAATATTATTTGGTAACACCGCGGCGATAAATATGTTAATCCGTAAGTCCCATTTTAAGCATTAATGATAATATTTTTAAAGGAGTCATATCGGAATTCCTTGTTGGTACCCCTCATGATTTTGAACCACATATTGCATTGGAAGCCTAACCAATCCTTTTATCCATTAGTGATCGTCATAATTGTTATTTGACAAACGTTTAATGTCTTATATTTTTGCTTTTCAGGAGATGCTGGTTATGATCGAGTTCGACCTTTATCGTATTCAGAAGCAGATTTAGTTATGATGTGCTTCTCAGTTACGGATCCAGAATCGATGGATAATATTGTATCGAAGGTGTGTATCATTTTTGCATTACAGTAAATTTAATATTCTGCCCACCCCACACCACTCACTTCTTAACGTTAAGTGGAATCAGAATTTCCAACACGAAAATGAATATAATTTATTTCATATAATATAATTTTCAAAATTATCGAATATTCAAGAACTGGCTTACTTCGACCATAGCATTGTTAATGGTCATTTTGGAATCTGTCTTAAATTTAGAATACAATTTAATTCCTACATACCCTATATAACCTGAACTATTGAAATCAAAATCTCAAAAATCAGGAACTTCTATAAATGTAGTTTTAGTGGTTTCACTTTAAGATTGTCTTAAACATTCGACATTTTTATGTCATTAATATCTCAGATTATTACATTGATTAATTTAGTAATAGCTTAAAGATATAGTTATGATATCAAAGCCATCTATCAAAAAGCTCATGTTTAACATAAAATGGGCAATTAGTTATTTTCCCATAATTAATTATGACATGTGTTATGTGATAAATGTAATATTAATACCGAATGTCTACATAGGTCATTAATCGTTGCCTTATTTCACACGATCTACAAATAAATCTTTGTATGTAAATTGAAATCGTGCCACGGCAGCACCATTTCTAATGAGAATAATGTGTTATGCGCTCAATATTGTTTTAAAAATCCCATGCGTTATAGTACGGGGGTAGGGGTGGAGATAGGGTCGTTTAGAGTCCATCAACACAAACTAGATATTTCGGGACTAGCATATGGTACAATTGTAATTTGAATAATTCGCTTGCATGTAGGGGGCTTTAGCATTTGGGGGGGGGGGGCACGAGGTCATATTCCCTGTCACGTACAAGTGTGGGATCGAAACCATGGCACTTGACTCAATGACAGACCGAATGATCTGAGGCGCTGACATGATACCATTTAGCCACCCACCCCCAAATTAATTAGGAATCAAAGCCCAGAACAATATGATTCTGGTTGTATGAATTACTGATTTATAACACAGGCCTGTATATAAGTTTATTATTTGTGTATTTCAGTGGTTACCAGAAGTACGAGAATATTGTCCCAAACAACCAATAATGTTGGTAGGCTGTAAAACTGATCTCAGAAACGAACAGAAATCCTCCTCAGTCAGTTCCACTAAAAAACAAATCGTCACATACGATCAGGTTAGTAGAACAGTAATCCGAATTTGTTTTACAATTTCCCCACCGAGATCGATTTCTTGTTACATCCCAAATTTAATTGTCTGACATACCTACTTTTAAAGATTAGTTTGAAATGAAAAAGGCGACTGAAGACGTGAAACGAAGGTTTTAAGCAAAGTTTAGACCAATTTTCAAACAGCCGAAACCAAGTCACTTAAACAATTATTTAAAATAGCTCAAAATAATCTAGCTTAATGCATTGTGTTTATAGGAATTCTTGAAGTGCTTTTTAGAAAAAGTTCTTGCAAATTGGATGTACATGACAGCAAGGGTCTAATCTAATTTGATTGAGTTCTTTATATTCAAGGCATCTAGTTGAATTCATCACATAAGTGTTATGCGTGTCTCACTAACGTAATTCAGTTACCATGATCCAAAGCAGATATTGAACCCAATTAGTTAGAAGAAATGCCATCACCAAGAACATCATTCTAATTCAGAACTCGTCTATTCCAACTTATCCCGTTGCTCATTTGCATAGCTAACCGAAATTCCTTCATGCATTCTACAACTAATTTGCAAATTAATTGGATGAATCGGTTCTGTTTGTAAGTCAGTTAACATGCTTCTTAAGCAGCCATATTGATTATTTTCAATTTCTTTTTCCAGGGTCTCAAAACAGCTAAACACATAGGTGCACTCGTGTATTCAGAAACATCAGCAAAAACGTCATTAAAAAGTGTTAGTGACGTATTAGAGGTGGCAGCACTATCGTCTGCAGGAACAAAAAGTACAGACAGTCCAAATTTCCGCAAACAAAGATCTTTTATCCGACGTAAGCGCTTCAGTGGCGTTTCAGACGCAAAGACCCAACTTCGAAAGGAGGCTGTAAAAAGCTGTGTAGTCATGTGATCGGTGTTAGTGTATTACGTGTTCGTTCCTTGCATAGAAGACTTCTAGTCACGTGAAGTGATATTGACGCTATTTGTGGTAGTGCCGTCACGTGATGTGACGTTAGCGTGATCTCAGATCGCCTATATTTGTATAACAAATAATAATTCTAACTTATTAATAAATGTGATATGAAAACTTTCTTAGCCACTGACGTTAAAGGTTCATTATATATAACCGAACCTTTTATCAATGTTCTGTTGAGGTTTTTTTTCTGTTTTGACTGTATTAAGGAATGTACTATTTATATTGTTTCGAGTCGGAGAGTGCTTTGTATATAGGGTATATGATATATGTTATATTTACCCTATTATTGTGTATATGGAGAGATAGAGTTGCTGTTGTTGCATAGCAGTCAGAACACAATTAATTGCGTGCAATAGCATATTATATTATAAACACTTGTTTTATATAAAAGCCTACAAAAATTCTGTGGATTTTTTTAATATTGTCTTTTAAATATTGTCCTTTGAATCATCATATACCAGTTTTTGCTCAGTTCATATATTATTTAAATTCAAATCAAATCTCCCTATCCGCTCACCGGATTTAAAGCCGATATATTTGTCGAACTACTGGACTGAAATACCTGTTGAATAGAATAGCAAATTTATTTGTCCATAGATGCCGTAACAGGGAACTCGATCGCGTACACCTACTCCGTCGGCGACAATACGCGGACACCCACCCTAACTAGACATCATGTGTTTAAACAGTGATTTGCGATATTAAAAAGAAGGCTAAAGAAAGAAAACCTAGCGGTTTCACGGAAATGTCCGCGATTCGGCTTCTTGCATTCCTCTAGATATTTTGTCTCGGTTACTCCGACAAATGATTAACTAATTAAGATCGTGTTTATTGGTACGAAGCTACAACTCTCCCAATTCCCATTTTTGTGTGCGAATGAAGGCGTTAGAAATATGTGACTATGATGTATACAGCTGCGAAAATGATAAGGGCCCGATCCTTTTCTTTCAACACATATATGTAAACAGACCAGCAGGTCGCCTTTGAACATGACGGTACCTGGGTGGGACTAGTTTCATACTAGACAGCAAGCTAACTGCAGAACACACTTAAAACACATTCCAATACAAAATTTGATAACACTGAATCTAAATGTCAAATTAATCCAGTATGAAATTGCCGCATGAAGAAAACCAGAAAATTGTGAGAAGGCGGTAGTGAAGACTCGTAAGGAGGCTAATAAGGAAATTGATGCCTTCGCCGATGAGATGCAGAAGCAAAGTCCATACTTGTGCACATTGACATCCACGAACTTTTCACAGTTTGAATTCGAAGACATCTATGCAAACCTTTCTGTCCTCAATGGCAGTATAGAAAATCAATTAGAATTTAGTATATACACGGAAGAATTAATTGCGGCAGTTTAATTTATACGCACATTCCAGGAATATTAACAGGGCAAGGTCCGGAACTGGAGACAACGTCAAGTTTAAGGTCGGGGGAATACCTGATAATTTGATAAAAAAAAAGAAGCTCTGAGACATTATTGTTGCTCATTTAGGTACAGTTATGATTAGAGTGGAGTGAGGCGGCAATGCGTCTCACGTTTGTTTATTCGGCGTTATTTCGATGAATGTAAAAGAAATAAAATATGATCTGCGCAAGCAAAGGGGGGTGAGGGGGAGTCCCCTGCGTTCACTCGCCTTCGGCAGCACAACTTACCCATGTCTTTAGATTTTTCAAATTAATATTATATATTGAGTGGCATTCAGCGACTGAGAAAAGTCATTTGTATAGTATACATTCACTAGCTAGACGAATTGATATAGGATCGTACTGTTCTGACCGGACTTTGCTCATGAAGACGGAGTTAGTTACACATATATCACCACGTTTCGATAGGTATTTTCTTTAAAACAATCACTAGTTACACGTATAGTACGAAGTTTTATGGTTAGCTACACATATAGCACTACGCTTCCATAAGTATAACACAGTTACATGTGAAAGTAACCGAATAAATGATTATAATGATGGGGTACTCTTTTTAACGTCTTATTTCCGCGATGCCGACCGCTCAGTAAGACGAAAATGAAATGAAATGAAATGGGATTTAATGTCCTACTGTTCTGCTCCGACTGGGCTAATGAAGACGGACATACGCCATGCAGTGTGCTATGAGGGAAATTTTGCCCGGGTAGCGGCATTATAGCCTACTCTTATATCGAACTCCAACGTGTACGCCAATGTTTCATGGGACCTCGGTTTTTCGCCTCATCCGAATGACTAGAAAGCTGTCCCTGTCAGCCCCCCTCCCCCCACACCCGTCCTGTACCACTGGCATGGTTAACCCACGTCGGGAAATCCCGACGAACTTTCTCGGCCAATGCAGAGATTGAAGACAAGATCTCCAAGCTTCCTATACGCGCACTAAAACAGATCAGCTTTTAATCAGAAAACAGGGAACAGTCGATCGGTGCTCATGTGACGGGTTCCGTTTGACAAAGAGAGTTGAAATTCGAATGTGAATAAAAAAAAGGCTATAGCTTATTCAAGGAATGAATCGAAATTTTTTAGCAGAGAATATTTGGCGAAAGACAATAAATGTTTAAAAAATATTATTGGGATACATATATTGAAAGCAACACTACTGTCGAAGTTAACATTTTGCGAAAATCAAATAAATAAATCGTAGACGAAAAATAACTCAGAATTAATTAATCATCAATTAAACAACTTGCATCCCGCAGCGACCAAACTAATCAAAAAAACTAAATCTGTTTTCTGAAATACTTAACTTATAACGCGTATTATAGCCACAAACTTGATCAAAAACATTCTCAGTCATGTCTGGTTTATTTTATGTGTGGCAAGTGAAAGACAAATGAGAAAATATTAATGTTTTTATAACTTTCTGAAAGTCGTGTGGTAAGAAAAAGAGAAACGCGAAAAAATAAGTTTTTGGAGTCGGGCGTTCAAAGCCTTAACCGGGAAAGAACCGAGAAGGAGTTAACGTATCCTGACAGGCAGAATGCGTTTTTTTTTATGATAAAAAAGGGTCACTAGCTAATGTTTCTTTGATTTATCTGTTCAAATGAACAATATAAGTAAAGTTATTATCGTATGTATGAATTATGACATGGCATCACCAGGCTTCCATAGGTTAGCCCCCCCCCCCCGTATCAGGTTTGTGGCATAATCATTTTGTCCGATGGAAACGCTCCGACCTGGTTTAAGGCTATTTTTTTATATCTTTATTGGAAATTTTAATGGTAGTAGAATACTGAATCAGAAAATGGCGAGACGTGGCCTGGCTATAACATTATTTTTCAGTGGAACCACCAAAGTCAAGCCAAAAATTCTTAAAATATGCCCTTTTCGATGAATCACCGGGACTGTATGAGTAGTTAGATAATGGAAATATAAAGCTAAGGAGAGGAAAAATTGTAATTGAAACCATTTAGAAGTCAGTGTTGATGTTTAACAACAGATGGTGCCCTAATCACCCAGTTTAAATCTCGTATACATCAAACAAATTCATTGTTTGGTAATATACTACCGACATGTTCACGCAACAACGCCATTACGTCCTAACACTTTATCTTGGAGAAACAAACACTAAATAATTACTATCTATGTATAGTTCCTGGAATTTTCACATTATTTTCTTGGGATCGGTAATGTTTTAATAAGATGCGCTAAGAGAAAAAGCAAGCGCAATGTCCTGACGACATTTTGAAATGATATATATAAAGATAGAAAAACCGTTTCATAAAAAAACATGATTTCCTTGGTTAAAGGCGCTCATGAACAATTTCCCGGCAGTCCAAAATGTAAATAAAGGTAGTTAAGTCCACCACAAGATGATATCCCTCAGCAGATCATCTCTCTTGCAAGTGAATCTTGAGAGACTGATTTTGCTTTCGCTTTGTCGTGTTTGGGTGGCCGGGTTGTCTAAAGGTGTAGACCTTAAAACCTGTTACCTAGGCATGCCATCGGTTCTATTTCGAACTTGTACGCGACAACAAGGTGGACTGGCTTTTCTTCTGGTTTCGCATAACTTCTAAAACACATCTCCACGTAAGAGAATTATTTAAATATAATGTTTCATACGTCGGTCCCTAATTACCCCTCTCGCTCTCTTTAAACGCTAATTTTCAAATTCCTGGTCACAGATGCATATAGTATAAAACGCCCAAACCTAAGTGTATCATTATCATTGTTACTCATATTTGTGCGTATATTATAATTGATTTATACCGTTACAAAAAATATCAAGTATTTGAAAGGAGACTAGTATTCAGGATGTTCTCGGCTCTTAAGGGGATAGTCAATGTTCGGTACCAGGATGCTTGAAAAGAACCTTTAATAAGTATCGTGTATCCGTCACAAACATTGATGTATTACCAAGAAGGCTCTTTATTCATTAAGTGAATCACAAACTTAACATTCCAAAATTGTTAAAATTGAAGCAAAACTACAAGGTCCGGTCGGTTAGACAACCCCATTTCATCTCATTTCGTGTCGTACTACAGGAAATGACCAGAACCAGCGACCTTATGATATGTAGTCAATACAATCACAACAATCTAATTAAAATTATATTACAATTTATTTCATTATACACGAACTGGGCCGGGATCGCTATTCTTGAGATTGGGTTGGTGGGGGCGACGCTCTCCAAGAACAAAAAGTACGATTGACGCATGAAAACCATTCGGCAAACCTCGACAGATTCTACGCATCCATGTACGCATCTAATCTCGGCTGTATGACCATTTCCGCCATATTTGAACTATTTTAAAGGGTCCGAATGAAAAATGGCTGCCCCCATGGAGATTTCTGTGGAGAGTGTATTATATCAACAAACGTCACGTTTGGCATTGGGTTTGGGGAATTACCAGGGAATTTTATCAAACCAGCAGCCTTGAGACAATATCTCTGCTCATTTAGGTATATACACTCTATAAAAGACGCAATTTGGGACTTTTTTGTAAAAGCGACACGCATCGCAAATGTATGGATGTAGGTACATATCACTTACTGTCATACAGCCGAGATTAGATGTTGGGTAACGGAATCTGTCGAGATTTTCCGAGTGGCATGAAAACTTGTCATTTGCGTGTCACAATTTCAAGATGGTGACTATGACGCTGTGCTCGATTTCTGGCCTATATATAGTATACTATCGTACTTGTATTCACTATATCCCTTATCTAATCTTTTCATGTGAGAAAGGATAAATTTGATATAATTCCCTACAAACTTCAGGTATGAAAACCAGTAGGGATAATTTGATTAGTTAAAATAAAATCATGTGATCTGAACGCCGAATTTAATCCATATATGTTAGATGTAAATGTTGTACAACATAAAATAAATAATATAAGTAAACAAATGAATTTTAAGTCTCCCCAATCAAACCCAAACCTAAAATGAAACCTCGCACAACACAAAGTCGCCA